GCCATCAGTAGAAAGATGTTCCTCCATCAGATGTAGAAAGATGTTCCGCCATCAGTAGAAAGATGTTCCACCATCAGATGAATGTATCTCCACCAACTGGCTCCTCTGTTCTCTGGTTCTGATCCGTGCTGCATCTACTCATTGATCCAGGAGGTTGGACTTCCTCTCAGCCTCACCTTCTCCTGCACCAGCGATATGTAGGGCAGGATGAACAGACAGTCCTTCTTCCTGCACAGCAGCTCTCTGAGGATCAGGATCTCTGCCACCAGAGTTTTCCCTCCACTGGTGGGCAGCGAGTAGATCAGGTTCCTCCTCTGCTGGACACAGTCCAGGTTCAGACACGTCTGCTGCCAGTCTGCCGAACAAACACAACAACTCTGATCACAAAACCACCACAAAGACACACAACTAGGGATCAACAGATATGTGTTGTTTTTAGGGACGATGCCGATATGGATTATTGGTAATCAGAAAAGGTTAATCTGGGGCTGCATGCTAATTTAACCGTTAGCCGTTAGCGTAGCATTAGCGGCTGTGAAATTCTTGTTCAGTTTCTTCAGGTTGTTTTTCTGTCTGTCAGGTAGAACAGACCTAAAGTTAACCTGAGTTTAGAACCATGTGACGGTGCTCCAGCTAGCGTTAGCTGCAGGCTAAGAGGCACAGCCAAGCTCTTAGCATTAGCCTAGCATCGTCAGCGTAAGTTCCAGCTGCAGCGTTTGTTAACACCAGCAGGTGAATTATTGGTCTTTCTGTGTAACATCCTGTTTATTAAACCTTCAACAGTCTCTGCTCTGATGTTCTGTCTCTCTGTGTAAACAATGGCTGTGATTGGCTGTTAACATGACATGTAACAGCCAACCAGTGACTGCAGAGAGGAGGCTGATCAGAGCCAAGCAGAGCATCTGATACATCAATAAGATTAATGATACAGACCATCTAAACAGACCAAACACTGGTGTGATCAGCTGAGTGATAATCCATCGATCAACATGAAGCTGATCCTGAGGAGGTCCAGGGGAAACTTCTCTCACATCAGTTTGACTTTACACCAGTTAAAGCTTCGGTCCTCTTCCTCACCGTACAAGCTGCTGATTCCTCTCAGTTTGAGCATCAGCTCCTTCACTCGGCTCGGCAGACCGAAGAACGGCCCGAGGTCGGTGCCCCCCGCTGACACCGTCTCCATGGCGACGCTCATCTCCTCGGAGACCACCGCCTCCTTCAGCGCCGCCGTCCGAGAGACGCCTGCCGGGGCGGCGGCGTTGCCCAGCATCGTCCTCTTCAGCTGGTCGGCCACGCTCCGTCTCCTCCGGGTTCTGTCCTCCCTGGTCTCCTGGGCCGCCTCCGTCGGGGTTCTGGACGGTGTGGAGGTTTGGTCTCCGTCCTGCAGCCGGCTCCTCTTGGCCTCGGCCTCCTGCTGGAACTGCAGCTGGCTGGGCGGCAGCCCATCCAGAGGCTCCTGGGCGCCGAGGCCGTCCAGGATGGAGTCTGTGAGGGCGTCCTGCTGGTCCACGGCTCCACGGCCTTCATGTCGCTCTGCAGCGTCCAGCTTGGCCAGCAGAGAGCGGTCCTCCAGGAGGCTGTCGTAGCCGCCGAACAGATCCTCGCTGTCGCTGCAGAACTGCTGATGAGACATCCAGAGTTTGTGTTTATTCATGAACTTGCAGCTTTTACCCAATCAGTTCATGAATGGTTTAAAAAACTGTGGAAATGTTTCCTAAATGTAAAATATGGTTTTAACTATAGAGAATGACAAAGAGAAGCAGCACGTTTCTCCATCTGACAACAGGTTTTTCTCTAAACATGACTAAACAACCACCTGCTAGCTGATCTATTGAGGATTGATCAATTATTGGTTTGTTTTGTCGACATCACAAAACATTTGTGTGTGATTTACAGCCTCCATCAGCTCAAAGTCACATCACTGTTGGTCGGTTTGGGGACCAAATGTCCAAAATATGTGATTAACTATAAAGTATGACAAAGAGCTTAAACCTGATGGCAAATTTGGGATTTATTTCTTTTTTTTAAAATTCCTTTGGGAAGGTTTTTACAGATCAATGTGGAGATGCAGCTAATTACTGTCATTTAATTTAGTAATTTGTGATTTTTTTCTCAGTCAGTCAATTAATTTTTAGTTTTTTAGAAGCTGAGAAACTGAAGAATGTTTCCTGAATGTTAGTTTTTGGCCCAACAGCTGTAAATATGTGATTAACTATAAAGTGCAATCAAGAGAAGCAGCTAATAATGACTTATTAATTACTGGTTAATCAGATTATTGACTGGATCAGAACCGTCACTGACCTCCGGAGCTGCTGCTTCATCCATGATGCTGCTGCTTCTCCTGCCGGTGGAACATCTCGGAGAGCCGCCTTCCCCTGCGCTCCTCCCGGCGGCTGGCTCCGGGCTCTCCGGGCTCTCCGGGCCGCTGCTCCACCTCCTGCCTCCGGCTGGCTCCGGGCTCTCCGGGCCGCTGCTCCACCTCCTGCCTCCGGCTGGCTCCGGGCTCTTCAGCCCGCCTCTGGACCTCTTTCTCGGACAGACTCGTTTGATTTTGACCTGCAGCCTTCCACAGTTCATCCCGCAGCTGAGCTACATGTCAACACTGATAACACATGAGTTAATGAGTCTGTGCTGTCGACAGACTCCTGCTCGCCACCAACTAGTTGTGCTTCACTAACCAGGTTAGAATCCGGTAACAACTAGTTAGTTGAAGATAAAAACTGACAGTTTTAGCTTGATGCTAACAGGTAACTCCTCAGCTTGTCCTTCCGCTGCTCACCGAGCAGCAACACACAACAAACACGGATCAGAAACGTCCCTAAACGGTTTAAAAGTCTAAATAATTTAACAAAATCACGTTTTAATGAATTTAATTTAATTTAATAATGAATGTACTCATGAATCAGAGAGTCGCAGCAGCTCAGCGCGCTGCTCATTCAAATCAGCGCCGAGGCTGCGCAGTGAGAGAGAAATCCTCCGTCACCTCCGGCTTCGTTAGCTAGCTAGCCTGCTATCCGATTCTGTTATTTAAAAAAAACAAACAAACAAACAAACAAAAAAACGCTAGCCAGCTATCCGGCAGAGCTGACAGGTTCATTTAATTTACCCAAATAACTAGCAGATAATAGATTTAACTTCACTCATCAGACGCTATTTTCTTCCAGTTGGTAGCTGGTGTTGCTTCAGCCCCAGTTTCCCTCCTTCTTTGTTGGTATTTGTTCAGTTAGCAAAGCTAACCAGCAGTAACTTTTACTAAACAGTCGTAAATGTTACATGATGAGACTTTTAATGCCCTTTAAACCCCATCAATATGATCACTATCCTTAGCTAGCGGGCTGTGTGACTACTTCACTCATTCGGGGAGATTTCCCTCTTGTCCTGTTGAACTTTGACGCAGGTGACGTTTCATCGCTTCCTGAAAACAACAACAAACGTGAACAATGAAATCTTTTTAAACATGTGAAGCTTTTAAAACTCACACACTGAATATATATTTACGTAATGTTTGAAAAAAAAGTCACGGTTCACCTGTAATAACAAACAGTCACTTTCAGGGGCGGTCGGAACCAAATATTAGAAGTCCTGGTGACGCTCCGGAGTCTTTAGGTTCCGGCTCCACTTCCTGTCTCCTGTCAGGTCAAAATGTCGTTGCTGAGAGGTTTTCAGCGGTTAAAGAGTGTTTTGTGCGTACAGGTGAACCCAGGTGAGTGTCACTGGCAGCTCAGTGTGACGCCGTTTGAGCGGTTTTAGTGAAAACACTGAATTAGACGTTATTGATCCGCTGGACTGTGATGCTAACGCCGCTAATGCTAACGCTAGCTGTGTTCATGTGTGCAGGAGTCCGAAGAGTCTCAGCAGCTTCGGCTCCGGTCCAGCGCAAAGACTCGGTGCGTCACAAACACGGTGTAAACACGTTATTACCGCTAATTAGATGGATTCATTATTAATGTCTGATCTGCTCTCAGCTCGTGAAGATGGAGAATCCGTATAAAAAGGCGAAGAAAGGCTGCGTCCTCTGCAACATCCCGGTGGACTTCAAAAACACTCAGGTGACAAATACTCTTATCATCTGATTATGTTTATTTACTACGAGGAGTTTCATCCTGTTGTCTGTTTTGCATATATTCTGTCCCAGTCTAGTGTCTTTATCAGATAAACCCAGATGTGGAACAACATGAATATTAAATGTGTGAAGAGCAAATAAATCAGTCAGATCAATAATCAGCAGCACGTGTATTGATTATTTATTGACTGACTGTAGGATGTACAGCTTTTTATTTTATTTCAAATACTTGTTATATTTCACCTTAAAGGTGACATAAGATTGACTTTTTAAATTTCATTAATTTTTGTCAAATGTGGATTTTTCTGTCAAATATTTATCTTAAATTAACATTTAGACGTTTGATCTCTAATTTAGAAATGATTTTAATTTTAAATCGCATCATTTTTTCAGCTGATGTGAGAAATGTGAGCGTCGTGATAATCTTCAGTCTTTAGGGCAACAACTTTAAACTTTTAATTTAAGGAAGTTGGATGTTTATTCACATGATTCTGGTTTAATAACTGCATTTAAAGAGATGTCATATTTTATCTCATAACCGTGACGGAGGAAGATGTTTTTTAAGTTCACACATATTTCATTCAGTCCAGCTGAGCTTCAGACAGACATGAACAAACGTTTGTGACGATGAGCTGAATGTTTTCTGGGTGGTTCTGACTCTGTGTCCAGTCAGACGTTTACAGGCTTCACTCTGAGCAGCTGGTTGTTACTAAAACTCATCCGTGTGTTTTAATTCAAACCTGTGAGCTGCAGACAAACACACACGTTGGACTTCACAGAGTTTCCTTCACCTGTACGGCTCTGGTTGTGATGTTGGTGTCTGCGGTTCTGGTTCTGGTTCTGATGTTGGTGTGTACCTGAACAGCTTGACGTGTGTGTTGATTGAACCTGTTGTGTGTCTGCAGCTGCTGTCTCAGTTCGTGTCTCCGTACACCGGCAGGATCTACGGCCGACACATCACCGGTGAGCCGCTGCAGCGATTCAGGCTTCAGGAGGAAAACTGACCTCAGATCTGCTCACAGCGTGTTTCTGTTTTCAGGTTTATGTGGACGGAAACAGAAGGAAGTCAGCAAAGCCATCAAGAAAGCTCATTCCATGGGTGAGTCCAGAACCGGGCCGTTCACAGGTTCAGAACCCTTCATACAAGATCCAGTGGATTTTCTTCTCTGACTCAGAACAATAAGAGACACACGGACACCTTTAGTGACTGGATCAGTGAAACCTGACGCTCAGGTTCTGCTTTTCTGTCCATCAGCCGTCCTGCAGGTTTGGAGCTGAATCCTGCCAGTAAAAGAACAATTAGTGAACTCATTATCTCAAGATGTTTACCTGAACCTCATCTTTTTATGGAACGTTTCAGACTTTTTAAAAGTCATAATTTTAATGTACTGACATCAACAGTGGTTCTAGTGAGTTAGAATCAGTCTGGGTCAAAATGTGCGGTTTCTTTACTCAATACTTTGACTTTGAAATAATTAGTTTTGTTTTTTTGATCGTCAAAATCTCACTTTTTTTAAAAAAAAAATGACATTATCTGAAGTTTACATCTTAACTTTTTGTCACAAATTTTTATTTTAGAATTTTTTTTTTTTTTAATTTATCTTAACTTTTTGTCACAAATTTTTATTTTAGAATTTTTTATTTTTTTTAATTTTTCTTGGTCATACTTTCAAAATTTATAATTTCAAGTTTTTAATCTCAATTAAACTTAAATAGTTTGACATAATTCTGATGCTTTGGCCTAAAGTTTATATGTATGTTTGGATCATTGAACCAGAATCAGGTTGAAGGTCAAAGTGAAGCAGATTTCCTCTCACATGTTTTTCTGTCTCCTGCTGGTGGAGGAGCGTCTCCATGTCTGTGAAACCAGAACCTTACGGCGTCTTTCAGGTGAACCTTCTTCACAAACGCTGAACTTCTCTAACGAGTGTTTGTTCTTCCAGGTTTCATGTCGGTGACCCACAAACATCCACAGTTCATGAAGGATCCCAAAATCTGTGTAGTCAGAAGGCTGTACTGATGGATCTGCGTCTGTTTCGTGTGTTTTGTGTAATAAAGTTTCTCTGCTGTCAGTTTGTGGCGTGAGTCTGTTCGAGCTGCAGCTTCAAGGAAAGAAGAGTTTAAAGTCTGATGAATCAAACAGAAAACAGAAATACAAACACGCTGTCGTCCTCTAACTCAGAGACATTAAACTATTGTTCCTGTTTAAACGTGTTAATAACGCTCAGGTTCAAACGTTTATGATGTGTGAAGGTGAGCCGGCATAAATCAGATTCTGTTTTATCATCACAGACCTGCAGGACCGATCGCATCAGGCTCAGCTGGAAGATCTGTTTCTAGATATTTTCTGCAGACAAAACTAACCCAAAAAACAATAAACTGCATCGCAGCGAAAATATTCCTGAAATGTCAGGGAATATTAATAAAACATCCAAACTTCTAATGTCCAGACATTTTATTAAAAGTCCTGAAAATATTAATGAAGTTTTGGAAAATATCAAGTTGTCTGAAAATGTCGATAAAATATCATTTTAAAAACTCAGATGTGTCCAAAAACGTCGATAAAGCATTGGAATAAAGTTAAATATTATATATATATATATATATATAAATGTAAGAAATATAGAAATATTTAGTAATCAAGTAATAAAAAATTAGAAACTGCCAAAGAATTAAAAGATCAGGAAATGTAAACAAAATTTCTAAAGAAATTAATTTAATGTCCAATTATATTAAAATCTCCTAAAAATATTAACAAAGTCTTGGAAAATAGTAAGTAGTCAGAAAACATTAATAATAAATAAACTGCTGGAAAATATTCATGAAATGTCAGGAAACATGAATAAAACGTCTGAAGAAATGAAGGAAACGTCCAAACATGACTAAACGTTGTTTTTATTAAATCGTCCTAAAAGTCTCAACAGAGTAGAAAAATAAAGGGAACGTCCGTGAATCTAAAACACCTCCGACGAAACCAGCCTCCAGGTGTTTGGGCCTACCTGATGTTCTGTTACAGCCGGAGAACATCTGGAGCTCCACAGCTGGAAACGGGCATCAGAACCATCCTCTGGGATCACTGAGCAGGTTCTGGACTCTGGAACACACGTCAGTGGACTCATGAAGGTGACGACAGTCAGAAACAAACGTCTTCAGTTTCCCAGAGTATAAAATAAGTTCTGTCCCCGGTGATCAATGATCTGATCAGCCGATCAGCTCCTCCTGCGCTTCCTGTCCCCCCCCTGCAGCTCCTCCCTCAGCCGCTTCCTGTTCCTGTCGCTGGGCGCCGAGTTGACCTGCGTCGCCGTGGAAACATCAGCATCAGGAAGAGGGAATCCCTGAAGGTCCAGCGTCTGGGAGCAGAACAGAGGACAGCGGAACCGAGAGCGGACCGACTCCTGCAGCAGGACGTTCCTCGGGTTGGACGTACGGGCCGGTTCTGGTTCTAGAAAACAACACAGAGAACACAATAAAAAGAAAACACAAAACCACAGACCCACAAAATAGAAACAACAGAAAATACTAAATACATTTAAGAACAACTGTTGCCTCGCAGCTAGAAGGTCGCCGGTTCACGTCCCGGTGAGGACACCCGGGATCTTCCTGCGTGGAGTCTCCATGTTCTCCCCGTGCAGTGTGGGTTCTCTCCAGGTTCTCCGGCTTCCTCCCACAGTCCAGAAACATGCTGAGGTTAATTGGTGATTGTAAATTGTCCGTAGGTGTGAATGTGAGTGTGCTTGGTTGTCTGTCTCTAAGTGTGGCCCTGCGATGGACTGGTGACCTGTCCAGGTGAACCTGCCTTCGCCCTGAGTCGGCTGGGATAGACTCCGCCCCCCATGACCCTAATGAGGATTAAGCGGAGTATAGAAAATGGATGGATGGATGGATTTAAGAACAAACACTCAGAGCGACGTGAGAATCAGCTGCTGCAGAAACAAACGTTCTGTCTTCTTCTACCTCAGACTTTATGTTTCTCATGTTTTACACGATTATGACAGTTTTAAAGGTTTATTCCACATAAATATGACTTCCTGTCCACGTCCTTGTGGTTCTGACAGAAGGATGAACGTTTCTCTGCTCACGCTGACAGACTGCAGCTGCTTCTCACTGCAACGCTAACCACAGTCACATGCTGCTGCTGCACAGAGCTGCACTGTTGTGACGGCACCAGGAGGCTCTCAGCTCAGGTCCAGGTTCTGGAGGGTGAGGGTCCTCTGTCCTGGACTCAGTCTGTCAGATCCAGGGGATTCTGAGGTTTTCTAAAGACCAGAGCCTCTGAAGCTGCCGTTCAGATGCTTCAGTTACCTTCAGCTGCCTCCACCTGCTGCTTCTCCTTCAGTCGCCTCCTCAGAGCAGAAACTTCCGCCTGCAGAGCTTCAACCAGACGCTCGCTCTCCTCCACGGCTCGGCAGGACTTCTGTCCACAGACACAGACACACAGGAAGTTAATGAAGCTAACACAGAGGGAAGCTAACAGACAGGGAGCTAACCACGCTAGCATGGGGCAAGCTAATGAAGCTAACAGAGAGGGAAGCCAACAGGTTGAATCAACAGGTTGAGCTGCAGCAGCTAAAACTGGGCTCCTCACCTGCAGCTCCACCTGCAGCGTCTCGTTCATGCTGTTCACCTCCTTCACCTCCTTCAGCAGCCCGTCAGACGAGAAGAACCTGGACCTGAAAGGAACACAGTCAGAGCTTCAGCAGGAACACAGACACAGCGTGCTAGCATGCTGGCATGTTAGCGTGTTCTGGTCGTACCCGTGTTTCTTCATGGTGAGGCTGTAACCGGCGGCCGAACACCCCGCCGACACCTTCCAGTAGGCGAGCTGCTCCAGCAGACCCAGGTTGGTGATGAGGACCGGAACGTTGACGAAGCGCCTCCACACAAGAAGAAGAAACGACTTTAAACGAAGCAGCAGATAAACATCATGTGACTTTAGCAGCTGTAGCAGCGTAGAACGGTCTGCTGCAGCTCACTGGTACCATCACCACTGGAGCAGGAACCTCTTGGTTCTACAGGGACGGTTCTGTGATCGGAACACGCACAGAGGTTCAGGCTTCACTACAACAACCTGACAGTTCCTGCAGCAGAAACAGTTCATTGGTTTGGAGGGAGATCACCTGTCAAACACCTGAACTGTCCCTCAGAAGTATGTCACTGCATACTCCCTTTAAAATCTGCTGTTTGTCCCAGCACAGCCCAGTAGGGGGCGGCAACTGGGAGCCAGTTCCTTCAAATAAAATGTGAGTTGTGTAAAAGCAGGAAGCTGAATTCTATATGTGCTGAATCGACCAGCAGACCTGGACAACCATGAAACATGTTGAGTCATCTTCATGTGAACAATCAGCGTCCACTTAAATTAGACCATATGTGAACAGAGTCTGGTGCAGCTGAAGGCCACACTGCTGCAGAAACAGCATCAGACTGCATCCCTGAACACTACAGACGCCCCCGAGGACACACCTGTGCTCGGTTACCTGCTGCGGGAGATGAAGGCGGAGTATTCCATCCTGTGGGTGGAGCCTGGCGCCGTCACCTTGCTGGGCGTCAGCAGCAGGAAGATCATGTGTGGGTTGGACAGAACGTTCTTCAGGTTCTCGTGGACCAGCTTCTCTCGGAGGGTCATCTGCTGCTCCGTGTTCCGCCGCTGCCGGTACCAGCCGATCACGCTCTCCTGCAACACGCCACACGTGTCACATGACGCAACACAACCTCCTCCACCTTTCCATCACAACCTCCTCCACCTGTCCTCCACCTGTCCATCCCACTCACCTGCTTGTTCTCCGCCAGCATGTTGCGCACAGCCTCCATGTTCACGTGTCCAGCGCTGCCGTACAGCCTGGAACATGAAGCAGGAACACGTGAGACAACAGAGACACACAACAACCACGACTCTGCGTTGACCTGAGGACTCACGTGTTCAGTCTGTGGCAGGCGATGTGCTTCTGGACGTCTGTCAGAGGAACACGTGTTCAAGTACAACAGAGTAAAAGTACATTTAGAGTAACTGTGGGGTGATGTAATGCCTTTATGTGCTCACTGTATGTCTCCTCGATGTGGATGTTATCCGCCTGAGAGTCGCTGATGGTGACCTGCTCTTCAAACCTGCTCTCTCCGAGGACCAGACCCTCCTAACAGACACACAAACCAAACAGCTGCAATGTGTGCAAAACTCAGGAGCTGAAATACACTCGAGCAGAATTCACCAGCAGACCTGCGTGACTTTACAGATCCATTTCTAAATCTTTAGCAGCAAACGCTTTCTTGTCAGCATTTGGTTTCACTTTAAATTGCAGGATTTTTGAATGGAGTCTGGTGTGTTATGGGAACAGAGAGGTTGGTCAAAGAGCTGCAGAAACAACAGTCTTGGGAGTTTTATCTTCACTGACATCATCACTTCTCCACAGCAACAAACCACATGCTAAAATATTAACAATTAAACTAGTAAACAAGACTTAAACTGCAAACTCCACCTAAAACTCTGCTCTTTATTCCAGTAGTCCCATAACAACATATCAGTGGGCGCCAACTGGCACCAGTTCTTTAAAATTAAAACTTTAATTGATGCAAAAATCCCTAGTTGAGTAATACATGTGCCGAAATTATCTGCAGACCTGCACGGCTGTGAACATATATTTACTTATCTTTCTTAATCCGTGTTTTCTTGACAGTCTTCTGTTTGACTTTAAATTAAAAGATTTTTGAATGGAGTCTGATGTGTTATGTGACCTGACAGTTTGGTTAAATGGTGAGTTTTAACGTTACCAATCAACACTTCACTGCACATAACTACAAACTAAAATACTATCAATTAAACTGGCAAACAACAACTACTGTAAACTGCGAACTCCATAGAGAAATCTGCTGTTTATTCCAGTAGTTCCATAACATCATACCAGTGGACGGCAACTGGCGCCAGTTTTTAAAATGAAATTTCGACTCATGTTAAAATCTCTAATGGAATTAAACATGTGCCGAAATTATCTGCAGACCATCACGACTTTGAAAATGTGTTTAATTATATTTCACAATCTATGCTTTCTTGTCAGTAATTGATTTTACTTTAAATTAAACGATTTTGAACGGAGTCTGGTGTGTTGTGAGCTAAGATCCGTTAACTTGGTTAAAAGTTGCAGAAACAGCACTGTGGGAGTTTCAATGTAATTTTAACAACCTACATTTCTCGACTGAGCCACACTACAAGCAGAAATGTTATGAATTGAACCGGCAAAGAAGAAACATAGCAAACTATGAACTCCATTCAAAACTCTGCTGTTTATTCCAGTAGATCTGTAACAACACCGCAGTGGGCGGCAACTGGCGCCACTTGTTTAAATAGAAATTTTGACTCGTGTAATAATCGCTAGTTGAATGAAACATGCCGAATTCACCAGTAGACCTGTGCGATTATGAAAATACATTCAATTACATTTCTTAATTCATGTTTTCTTGACAGTGTTCTGTTTGACTTTAAATTAAACGATTTTTGAATGCAGTCCGGTGTGTTGTGTGAGCTAATAGCCGTTAGCTTGGTTAAAAGTTGCAAGAACAGCACTGTGGGAGTTTTAACGTAATTTTAACGACCTACACTTCTCCAGTGAACTAAACTACAGCCTGAAATATTGTTTATTAAGCCGCAAAACAAGAACTAATCCACTAAATCTGGTAATAACGGCGGGACACTGTTCTGTTTGCTAGCGCTCCTTTCTCAGCAGGACACCGACCACATAGCGGGGTCCACTGACAAAACGTTCATTTTAGTGATTTAATAAAGATGGTCTCACCACGTCCGAATCGCTGTTCACATGCTGGAACATCAGAGAAGCCAACACGATCCCGGACACCCGGACGGTCGGTTCCGCCATGCCGCTTGTTGACACCGGGCGTGGAGCCGTGAGGCGGGTCAGAGGTCCGCAGCAGCGCCGCAGTAAAATCCTGCGTTTCTCCAGCGCAGTCCGTCACGGGGCCTCCGGAGGGGCGGGGCCTCGGAGAGCCGCCTGCTCGGCTCCGCTCGGCCGCAGAGCGCCGCTGGATGTCCGGGAGTGTCCGCTGGAAGAACCGCTGACCCACCGGGACCGTGTCAGCAGCCGAGCTCAGGGTTGGTTCGGTTGGTTCGGTTGGTTTAAGGTTAGTTTGGGTTAGTTAGTTTAAGCAGCAACGGGATCTAACGGCCCACAGACTCTGTCCCTTTAAAGCAGCAGTGACGCGAGTTCACAGCTTAGGATGAAGAAATACCGTTAAAGTCCCGTATCTGGACCTGTCCCTGAACTGTAGGACGTTAAACTGTTAAATCATGTAACATAGTGAGTGGTTAGTGGATTGTTGTCGCTCTGACATCTACCTGGTCCAGGTGGAGGTTTACCTGCTGTGGGCTCCTTCATGCATCACGCTGAAGGAAAACTGGACAAAACAAACGTGACCATTACAGATTACTGCATGACTTATTCTAATGTCTGTTACTGTGTTATGGCCATAGATGTGTTCACAGGGATGTCAGGTCTTACAGCGTAATTAGTGCTTATAATGACTGCATGTGAAAGTACAACTTTTCCCTTCTGACTGATTAAACAGCCACAGAGAGACACAAACAAACTGAAATAGATGCAAGATGCTGGTTGTTTTCTCGTCTGACTGATAAACTGCCAGATCTCTGGTATTGTGTCTGAGCTGATGGAAGCAGCAGCTATCTGGTTAGAAGGTGTAGCTGCAGTACCATGTTGGCCTGACGGCGGCGCTGCAGCCACAGGTTGATCCTCAGCAGCTCCAGGTGTTGGATGTGTGTGCAGGTGATGCTCTGACCTGCAGCTGCGCCGATGGAGGACCTCTGGAGCGCCGCTGCAGCTGTTTTCCAGCTGTGGCTGTTCGTCGTCGTCTTCCTCATCATGCTGCCCGCCATGTTCGGCCTGTCGCTGGGCGTCACCGGCGTCTACATCCAGGTCCTGGTCAAGATCCTCGAGGTAACTCAACCAGAGTTTACGTATATCAAACTGCTTGTTTTAACTCACTGAGGTTCATGTTCCAGCATAAAGTCCTGCAGCTCTGAGGAACCAGAACCACATGAAGAAGGAGGAGAGAACTCAGAGATGTCTGCTGTCAGCAGGACTCAGTCTGAATGACACAAAATGACTTTAAACTTGAACAAAGTGACTGAAGTTTGTCTCAGATGCCTCAAAATTAGTCCAGAATGACTCAAAACCTGCTCAAAGTTACGTTTTTGCATCCAAATCGTGTCCAAAATACCTCAGACCAGGACAGTACTGCTCAAAGGATGTGATCAAGAACCTTAAACTTACCTAAAACTGTCTGAAATGACTCAAAATACTTGGAATCATCAAGTCCAACATGTTAGAACTATCTCCATGTCTACAGCCTTCTCCTCTCTGCTCTGCTCATCAGCTGTAGAAAGATGTTCCACCATCA